GAAAGAGAGAGAGAGAGAGAGAGAGGGAAGAGAGCGAGTGAATGGATCGAGGTAGAGAGGCAAACGGAGTGGAGCAAAGACCTCGACGATAACCCACCACTCCCAGGCTTAGCTCAAGCTCGAAATGCCAAGGCGAGCAGCCGACGTGTGCATGCGAGGCGCAGCCACACTGAGCCAGTGCCGTGCTCCAGCGCAGGGTGCTCTTCTCCCTCTGCAGCCTCGCTCGCTCTGCAGCGCTCGAATTCATTCCGCACTGCCCGGCATCATCCACCCGCGCGGAGTGAAACGCTCTAACATCTTGAACGTCGAAAACCCCAACTCCACGTCGAGAATAATGTTGGTCTTGAGCTCGAGCCACGCTGTCACTCCTTCCACCTTGCACCTTCCACACACCCAACACCCAACACACTCGCAGTTTCGCCGGTCACCATGGCATCACCGGCATCCTTCGAGCCGCACCAGCTGGCTGCCTACCTTCAGCCACCCTCGGTCGACCAGCAGCTGAGCTACGTCGTCGAACACTGCAACTACATCCTCCCGCAGCTCGCCTCCGACACGCTCCGAGCCAGCGCCAACGACAGAGCAGACCCGCGCCCCACTTTCACCTGCCTCCCTTCGTCCGAGACGCTCGAGGCGTACCTCGCTCAGCTCACCGCGGCGCACCAGCAGACATCCGACACAACCGCTCAGCTCGAATCCCAGCTTCGCGCGCAGCTGCTCGACAGCCTCTCCTCCGTACAGACCCTAAGAAACACGCTCTCTTCCCTTCCCGATGACATTGCATCCACAGAGGACAAGCTTCTCGATCTCTGCCAGGACCTCGTCATCCAGGGTGCAGCTGCCTCCGCACCCCAGTCCAGCAGGCAAGGCGTCCTCACCCTCATGGCACGCCTCGAGCAGCTTCACACCGCCATCGACCAGCTCCGAAAGGCCAAAGACTACTTTACAATCCTCGCTCAGGCCGAGGACCTGCGTCTGGCGGCGGTCAGCAGCGACAAAGACCAGCCGCACTCGCCACGCGCTCTGAAGCATCTCGCCGAGCTCGACGCTCTCGTGCGCAGGGTCGACAAGCTCTCGACCGCCGGGGAAGACGCGCACAAGGCTGGTCGAGATGAGCCCAAACTCATCGCGTTCCTCCGTGCCCAGCGATCGGCTGCGCTCAAGGCGCTTCGAAAGGCGAGATGCGCGCGCCTCTCCGACGCCATTGCTCAGTCCGGCTGGGCGGATCCTTCGGCGACAGAGCCAACCAACGCCGACCCTGCAGCCGCGGATCCGTCAACATCAGCCGGCGCAAAGCTTGTCGACAGCGAGGCCGTGCGACAGGCCTGGGATGACGTCTGTGCTCTCCAGGATTCGGCCGAGCATCTCGGCCTGCTCAGACGAGCTACCGCCAAGC